GTGTGTGTATAGATCTATGTATACACATAGATTTGGTGTTGATGATGATGTGTCTCTCTTTGCCGGTAGGTGGCTCTCTCTCTCTCATATATATATATATATGTGTGTGTGTGTGTGTGTGTGTGTATAGATCTATGTATACACACAGATCTAGTATTGATGATAATGTGTTAATGGGATGAGAAGATGAAGAAGATAAAGGAAAAAGGAAAAAAAAAAATTGTCGATTGTTGTTGATGATGTTATGTTGTTGAAATTTTTTCTTTCAAATTCTATAATTCTTTTTTTTTTGTTGTGATTGTTGGTTGTTGTGATGATGATGTGTTGTTGTTGCTGTTGATGCTCTCTCTCTCTCTCTCTTGGTTTCCCAACTCCCTCTTCTCTCTTTTTCATTTTCGCCTCTCTGTTTCAGAGAGAAAAGAGAAAGGAAAAAAAAAATCCAAAACGACGTCGTTTTAAAATTCAAGCCAGTTGGGCCAGCTTTCTCACGAGCTACCTAGCAGCGCTGAATGAAGATGTAATCTTAGTTGGATTTTTTTAGTTTGTAAATGAGATTATTTAGATTGAATTATTCACATCTCTATTAGTCAGGAAAATGTGTGACATTAATAATTTAGTGCTTGACATTATCATTTTTCAAAAATCAATTAGATTTGATTCATTCTTTGGCTATTCACCAAGTTGATTAATTGCTCTAATCTAGCTCCATTAATTGGGATACAATTTCACTTAAATCCAAACTAGAAAAAGCCATATGCACAGAGATAGCTAATTTAGGAGTACATGCCCCCCTCAACTTTTCAAAATGTATTTTTTAGTTCAATTTAAGGTTTTGAAATGTCCCCTTAAATTAGATTTTTAAAAAAATACAAAGTTAATCCATTTACGTTGGTCAAATCATCCATGTTAACCATTAATATTTTAAAATATTTAGGCAGTTGAAACTTGAATCCAAAAAAGAAAACCTAAGTGGTATTTTTGTATATATCACATGTGACTTTTGTGTAAATATTGATATTAAATGAGCAATCTGAATTGAGTTACTAAAAGGTAAAATTTTACTCTGTATGAAAGTAAAATTTTACTCTGAATAAGAGTAAAAGGTTACACTCTGAAACTAAAGTAAAATTTAACTCTGTATAAAAGTAAAATTTTACTCTGAATAAGAGTAAAATTTTACACTCTGAAACTAAAAGTAAAATTTTACTCTATATAAAAGTAAAATTTTACTCTGAATAAGAGTAAAATGTTACACTCTGAATAAGAGTAAAATTTTACACTCTAAAACTAAAAGTAAAATTTTACTCTGTATAAAAGTAAAATTTTACTTTGAAAAACAAGTAAACTGTGAGACTCTGAAGCTAAAAGTAAAATTTTACTCTATATAAAAGTAAAATTTTACTCTGGTTCTGTCAAATGAAAAAAACAGAGCAATATTTTACTCTGGTTCTATCAAATGAAATTAGATCATTCACAATCATTGTTCTTCTGTTTCTTCACAGTTACTTGCCTCTTTCGTATCACCTCTTTGGCTTCTCTGTTATCTATTACATATACACAATCCATATAGCTCACTCACAACACAAAAATTTATCAAAATCAAAAATAATTTTACAACAAAAAGTTGAGAGAACATAGTAACAACTCATTAATAGATCAATTTAAGAACTTAACAACACTATCCAAATGAAAAATCTCTCCCTCACACACACACACACAAACACACACACACACATATATATATATATGAAAAATCTAAAGAACTGTGTTTAAATATGAAAATTTTAAACAGTAGCGCGATTTGTCTCTATACTCTTTCACAATTCAAATTTTTGATCAGCAAGGCTATCATCAACGACAAGAACATGAACTTCATGAGAATTGGATGGCGATACGTCGACGTCGTCGAAGCTTTCTCCGATCATCTCCGACGATCTCTTCCACTGCGAAACCTATGCGCCATTCAAAGAAAATTCTCTGCAACTAAGAGTGATTTAGGTATATTCACAGTTTTGGTTGAAATCACGAGAGCTCCGAACGAATCCAATCCAAACCCTAGGAATGGAAGAGAGAAGGAAAAGAGAGAATTTATTTGTGCGTATGCTTGGTTGAAGCTTCGATCATGTTCCACCGCCTTGAAGAAGACATCGGCGGCGGCGTATGAACCGCCGGAGAGTGATCGGAAAACTGAATCGGCGTAGGAGGAGATCGAAGAATGTTGAGAATCATAACAGAGAGCTCGTAAAAGAGCAGAGAAGGTGGGGAGAGAGTGGGTGGAGAAGGTGAGAAAATTTAGTTGAGGGTATAATAGTCTAATAAAATATTTAAATAATAAATTTTGTCCTTTATGCAAGACTTTATAATTATGAGGGGATTTAAAAAATATAATTTTTTTCATAATCCTTTTAACAATGAAAGGAAGGTAAATGGGATTTATAACTAAATTTTCCTTTTAAAAAATACAAAGTTAATCCATTTACGTTGGTCAAATCATCCATGTTAAGAGCATCTCCAATACACTAGGCATATAATACTTGTTAGTTACAATGCCTAGTGTGATTCACTTTTTTCAATTCCAATGCACTAGGCATATGACTAGGCATTTTGCCTCAACTCATATTCACTAGCTACATGTAGCTAGCCTTAAACGCTAGGCAAAATGTATTCAATCATTGGGATCATTTCCCTCCATCTTTGTTGTTGACGTGGCATTCTATAAAATTAATAGTATTTGGATAAATAGCTAAAATAAAGAGCATGGTTGGAGTAGAAACATGAAACAGTTGATAGGTAAAATAAAATATATACTTTATAGTAATATTCAGATAAGTAAAATGCCTACTACCGTTGGAGATGCTCTAACCATTAATATTTTAAAATATTTAGGCAGTCGACACTTGAAACCAAAAAAGAAAACCTAAGTGGTATTTTTGTATATATCACATGTGACTTTTGTGTAAATATTGATATTAAATGAGCAATCTGAATTGAGTTACTAAAAGGCAAGATTTATTCACCTAATTTGGTTCTTTATTTATTAATGGCACTACACAAAATGACGATATCCCTGTTACCTTCAATATATATATATTGAATGTTTGCAAATTAATAGTTTGTTAGATTATTACAGTATGCTGCCTTTCCACAGAGTTAAATTTAAAACCTTGTATTAGTCCCTAAATATTTTCTCAAAATCACTTTGAAATTCAACCTTAATCCAATTACTCTCAATATTAACCTTACATTAGTCCCCAAATACTTTCTCCAAATCACTTTGAAGTTCAACCTTAATCAAATTACTCTCAATATTTACAGAAATACTACTTAAGAGAAAAAAATTCACAAAAATCAGGTAATCAATTCTAAAAATTTACTAGTCACAACTTCAAAATGATTTATGTAAAATATTTTCCGCGACATCTAGACTTAGTTGCAATATTCAGTCAGGTTTGTTTCGGAATTACTTTTTTAATAATTTTTTTGGAAAAGAAAATAATGAAATAAGTCAAGATAATGTGTTAATTTTTTTATTGACTTTATGATTTTTGGTCTATTTTAGCCAATTACTAAACATGACCTCATTGTTGAGTGGATGATGATGGTACGGATGGTAAATTCATGGGAAAATTATCCCTCAGTGGCAATTTGATAAAATTATTACAAATAGATGAAAAAATTTATAATTATAATTATTAATATTGATAAAGTTTGCCACTAATTTATAATTATTTTTTTCATTTTATTTTAATCTGAAATTCTCCCTAAATTTATCTCCTCTCCGCATGTATCCTTTCGCATGCAAACCTGCGACGCATCACTTCTATCTCTAAAAATAAAGGGCAACTTATCAACACTCCTCGAGATTTGATTAAAATACAGATTCTATCTTGAGATTTGAAAAATTACAAATTGTCCCCTGAGATTTATATTTACATAATAAATGAGGAGGCAATTTGTTATGCAAATATAAACCTCAGGGGATAATTTGTTATGCAAATATAAATCTCAAGGAACAAGATGTAATTTCTCAAACCTCAGGGAGAATTTGTATTTTAGTCAAATCTCGAGGGGGTGTTGGTAATTTACCCAAAAATTAAAAGGGAAATATCACATCAGTGTGATGTTGATAAAGAAATCACAAATTAATGAGAAATTTTATAAATATTAATAATTAAATTTATAATTTTTTTACGAATTTGTTTTTTTTTTTTAATATTGCTAACAGATGTTTAATAATCCAAAAAAAAAAGCGCGCGCGCACACACACTCTCTCTCTCTCAACTAGGGCTGCAAATGAATAGAGTTGTTCGTGAATAGGCTTGAGTTCGACTCGGTAAAAGCTCGGTTGAACTTGGTTCGTTAAATTTTTTTTATGTTTGAGCTCAAGCTCAAGCTCAAGCTCGATAAATTTTTAATAAACAAGCCTAAAAATTTTAAAGCTCGGCTCGTTTAATATTTATTATTTATAAATTAAATAATGTAAAATATGTATAAAAAATAAGATAAATATGCTATTTATATATTTAAAAAATATAAATGTAAATAATAGTTAACTATAGATAGTACATTTATATAATAGAGGTAGTAGATATTATTATTTTGATAAAATATTAACTTTTTTTAGTATGTTTATATATATTATATATATAATTATATAATTAAAATTTTAATTGTAATTTTAATCTCATATACAAGTATGAATTTGTAAATTTTTTTACTCGTTAAGACTCGTAAACAGGCTCAAGCTCAAGTTAAGCCTAAGCCAATTCGGCTCGAACTCAATTCGTTAAATTTTTATTCAGCTCGAGCTCTATTTCATTAAAATCTTAATAAACAAATTCAAACATACTACGGCTCGGCTTTTTGTAATCATTTCTCAACCCTCTCAAACTTCCTTCCAAGAACCTGAGCTGGAGGGAGATTCCGTTTGTGGAATTCGAGCTGTAACTGAAATCCCTTCTCTTTTTTTCTTTTTTTCTTTTTTTGGGCTTCCTCTTACCTATATATAGCCTTCCTTATTCACTTATTTTGTTCACAAAACCGACTCAAAAACCTTTTCAAGCCTATCTAAACTACAAAATCCGCCAAAACATGGAGTTCACAACCATGTTTTGCTTATTTGCTTCAATTCTCTCTCTCTTTATCTTCCATTCTCTCCTCAAATTCCTCACCTCCGGCCACCGAAAACCACCTCTCCCACCGGGATCTCTGGGTTGGCCCTATATTGGCGAAACCTTCCAACTCTACTCTCAAAACCCAAACGTCTTCTTTGCCTCCAAAATTAAAAAGTCAGTTACTAAAGCTCATATCATCTTCTTTTTGTTTGTTTGTTTGTTAGTTTGTTTGTTTGCTTCTCATTTAGCTCATCCTTTATGTTATGTGATGCTTATGAGAAATGGGTTGGTGTTGGTTTTAACAGGTTTGGTTCCATATTCAAGACTCGCATATTAGGCTGTCCTTGTGTGATGATATCGAGCCCAGAGGCCGTGAAGCACGTGCTTGTGTCGAGAGCTCACCTCTTCAAGCCCACATTTCCTGCTAGCAAAGAGAGGATGTTGGGCAAACAAGCCATTTTCTTTCACCAAGGAGAGTACCACACGAAATTAAGGAAACTTGTTCTTCGAGCATTCATGCCCGAAGCAATCAAAACCATCGTCTCTGACATCGAATCCATCGCAATAACCTCTCTGAAATCATGGGATGGCCAGTTGATCAACACTTTCCTAGAAATGAAGACAGTGAGTCTCTCCAAAAACTATCTTTTATTTCACTCAAAACAGAGCTCCTCTGTTTTCCCTCTCTTTCTTACTCTGTTTCTCTTCCCCTGTTTCTCTCTGTTTTACAAACTCCTCAACTGCCCAATTGGGATAGTGAAATTTTTTTCCAATTCAATTCGCTTCTTTAAGTAATTAAATTTTGTAATTTTCTTCTTGTTGCAGTACACATTCAATGTTGCGTTACTTTCCATATTCGGAAAAGATGAAGTTCTCTACAGAGAAGAGCTCAAAAGATGTTACTACATTCTTGAAAAAGGGTACAATTCTATGCCCATTAATCTTCCAGGGACACTCTTCCACAGATCCATGAAAGCAAGAAAGGAGCTGGCTCAGATCTTGGCCAAAATCCTCTCAATCAGGAGGCAAATGAAGCACGACCACAATGGTTTGTTCGGATCTTTGATGGGTGACAAGGCAGGCCTCACAGACGAACAAATAGCCGATAACATCATCGGTGTCATCTTTGCAGCCCGCGACACCACTGCTAGTGTCATAACGTGGATCATCAAGTACCTTGCCGAGAACCCAAGTGTCCTACAAGCTGTCACTGTAAGATTCTAATTCAAACTCATCAAGAAAGAAATTTCAGTTTTTTTTTTTTTGTTTTAATGATAATTGAATTGTGTGAGGAACACGTAGAGATGGGCTGTTTATGTATGGTTTATTATAAAGTCAATGATGATTGTTTTTGACTTTACAGGAAGAGCAAGAGGCTATAATGAAAGAGAAGTGTGGTGAAGAGAAGGTTTTGACTTGGGCAGACACCAAGAAGATGCTATTAACTTCAAGGGTGATTCAAGAGACACTTAGAGTTGCTTCAATTTTGTCTTTCACTTTCAGAGAGGCTGTTGAAGATGTGGAATTCGAAGGTGAGTTGAGAGCATAGATCATCTGTTTCACTTTTTGTCCCATGCCATCAATTGAAAATCATGGATACCCATTTGCAATAAAGAAAAAATAAATAAAAGGAATTTTTACTTTTGTGTCTTAAATATGACTTTTGGGGTTAATATTTTTTATTTTTTTCAAAATTATTTTCAGGGTATCTCATACCAAAAGGGTGGAAAGTTTTACCACTCTTCAGAAACATTCATCACAGCCCAGACAATTTCTCCGAGCCTGAAAAGTTTGATCCATCAAGATTTGAGGTAAAATCCTAAAGATTTGAAGTAAATTTGTTTTTATTTTCTAACTTTTTGTTTTTTGGTCAAATTTTATTTTCTAAGTTCACCCATCACATGAAATTAAAATTTTTGGGTAATTTGCCAGGTTGCCCCAAAACCCAATACATTTCTGCCATTTGGCAATGGGACCCACTCATGTCCAGGAAATGAAATGGCAAAAATGGAGATTTTAGTCCTTTTGCATCACCTGACCACAAAATATAGGTGAGTGAAACCTCAAATAGCAAAATAACAGACTATATGACCTTTTCAATTTGTGGGTACATAGTCCAGTTTCTAAAAATGGAAATGTTTAATGAATCTTTTGCTGATAAGGGTCTGTTTGTTTGTTTTCATCTGCAGGTGGTCTGTGATGGGCCCACAGAATGGAATTCAGTATGACCCCTTTGCTCTTCCCCAGAATGGTTTGCCAATCAGACTCTCTCTCAAGTCATAGAGCTCTAAAGAGTTACAGAGATCTTTCTAAATATAGAAAGGAAAAGTCATTAGAAAAGAGGCTTTTCTTTCAACTTTCTTGAGAAAATGATGAAGAGTGACAAAATGACCATATTGCCACATTAACAGGAATGAAATTTAGAAAGACATACAAAAAGGGAAAGCAAAATGTACATAAATAGATTTCATACTAATGTTCGGAGGGAAAGAAAAAGAAAATTTGAAGTTAAAGTGATGTTGATTTTCAAGAATGAGACAGAAAATTGTACAAGGGATAGGAATGAATTGGATCTAGTTAGGTTAGTCCAATTGTATGGTTTATGTTGTTTTTTTATATTATTGTATGAAGTCCGCAAGGGTATAAATGAAATTAATATTCTAATTTTGACTCTATATAATTTTTCACTTTCATCTGTTTCTGATCTTTCTATTAATTGTAATATACATAACAATTAGTTATGGGTTATCCACTCCTGTATAATTTGAGTAATGTTATATTTATCATTTGATTTGATTATTTACATTATCATTGATACATAAGTGCAACGTATGCGTAATGTTATTATTTAAGGTTTATGTAGTGTGCCACTTAAATGATAAAGGAATAATCAATATCATAACAATTTAATGATTATTTTAATTTTTGTGTTGTAAAACTATGCTAGTATTCAAACAATAATTTTCAAAAAATGATTAAGAATATACTCTTACTGTTTATGTGAATTAATTTGAGTGGAAATATTTTATTATTTATATTCTTCAACACGTCCTCTTGTGTATAGACATGTAGTGAGATTTTAATACACTAGTCGTGTTTTGAAACAATAATTACAAATCAATTATAAATTTTTCCATAAATCTGTAATTATTTTTTAAAAGTTTTACTGAATTGTAATTTTTCCTATCCATTACTTACTCTTATACAATATTGAATTGTAAGCGACCAACCTATCTAAAAATGTAAATTATTACAAATATATATAACTTTGTTATTTATATTCATAACCCATATTATTCAGACACAAGCTCATCAAATTAACTTAGGAGGTGTTCAGAGAAAATAACTTTATTATTTCCCGGTCCCTTGCTTTTAATTTCTACAATGTGTTCAGAGAAAATAACTTTATTACTTCTCTGACCCTTGTTTTTAATTTCTACAATATGTGTAGAGAAAATAACTCTCATAATAATAATAAACGTAAGATGTATAGTTTCATTTAAAAATAGGGAGAGTTATTAGAAAATTATTTTTCAAGTGTTTGTATATCAATTAGTGCATAAGATATTCTTATATTCTAATAGGTCTTATTATTTGAATATTTGATGTACCAATTGATAATTCTCATATTTAAGATATTTTATGAACATTTCTACCCTTACAAATATTTTTTGAACGGTTAGCAATTTTATGATGTGAACATTCAAATTTTACAATGTGAATATTCACATTGATAGTGGGAACGTTCACATTGACAATATGAATATTCACATTGACGTGTTAACATTCACATTAATGATGTGTATTCACATCACGCAACATTCGCACTGTAAATATGAATATAATTAGGGGTATTTTAGTAACTATGTCACCCATAGGACTTATTAGAATATAAGAAAATAATGTGGACTAAATGGAACATAAGTTGATGAAAATACCCCTAATGGTGTGAACATTCACATTCAAAATGTGAACATTCACATTAACGGTGTGAATATTCACATCACGAAACATTCGCACTGTAAATATGAATATTATTAGGGATATTTTAGTAACTATGTCACCCATAGATTTATTAAAATATAAGAAAATAATGTGGACTAAATGGAACATAAGTAGATGAAAACACCACTAATGGTGTGAACATTCACATTGAGAATATGAACATTCACATTAACGGTGTGAATATTCACATCACGGAACATTCGCACTGTAAATGTGAATATTATCAAGGGTATTTTAGTAATTATGTCACCCATAAGATTTATTAGAATATAAGAAAATAATGTAGACTAAATAAAATATAAGTAAGTGAAAAGGAATTTATGAAAAAATGTCCCTTAAAAATACAATACCCATCATCATTATGACTATAATTTACAAGTTTACTATTACCGCATCATTTTAGAAGTAAATACTGTATAAAAATTAATCAAATATTTATAAACCTTCATTAATTCACATGGGGATCATATTTCATTTTTTTGGGTTCTCAAGAATGCATTGACAAACCATATTCTTGATTGACAAAATCAAGAACTTCATATTTTGCATAATGAATATACTATAATAATAAATCATTTCCCTCACATAAATATGGAATCCATGTATATGTGAGAGGAATAGCCACATTAGCATACTTGATAAAGTCTTAACAATTTTTCCAAGTATGTAATGCAACTGATTCATCAATTTTAAAAAACTGTAGTTGTGTGTACAAGGATGGTTTAGCAAAGAGCAAACTTCAATAAGTTGCTCTTGGTGTAGGTGTGTATGTTCACTTTCACCATTATTGCACCTCAAAAAAAAGTCAATTATATTACATAATGCAAATAAAGATCATCATTGAAATTTTCATATGAAATGCAAAGATGGTAGAATTGCAATGATAGATCATTTTCAAAAATTTTGTACTTAATCTCTAAAGTTGTGAATGAAAGCTAAATCCTTGACAATCAAGCCACATTTTTATCTTAAAACCAGAATCCTTACACACCTAAGAGATCAACGTTTGACCCTTCTTACATGACTCTTTACTTCTACATTTATTTGGAATTTTTCTCGTTTTTGTTATATATTTATGACTATACGTTGAACTTTCTTTCATAGTTGAATGTCTAGTTTGATATAATTCTACTGATATTTACAATTTATCTTTCACCTATTGACAAAAATATCCTAAAATTCTCGTTCAATCTCCAACTTTGGAATGCATTGATAAAATTATCAAAAAAACAAAACAAAAAACAGATTGAGAGATGAGGCAACACAACATATAGTAGCTATACATGGTGTTGTTATATGAGAACAAAGGACAGTTATTATCTTAGAAGAATAACAATAAAAAAAAATTATTTTATAGGAATTTCAATATGATGTTAAAAATAAACTTTCCTGAAAACTGAATCAACCCTATTGTTTTTAATCAATAGCCGGACAGCGAATATCTATTGAATCCAAATTTTGGATCATGCAGACTTTTGAGTAATTTGTTCATCACTGTCATTTTCAAATAAAAAAATTAAAATTAAACCTAATTAAGAGCCAAAAATAGACCACTGAAATTGCGACATGTAGATATTAGTTTATTGTATTTCAGTTTTTTGAAAGAAAAAAAAATCTAATTCCAATCGAAATTATTGAAACCGGCAAAATAAAATATAAAAATTGAATTGGTCAATTTCAATTACAAAAAAACTCTCTCTCTCACATCAATATCATCATCGTAACCTTTGGTCCACAGTCCTTATTTTTTGTTTGACTTGCCTATATTTTATTTATTATCTCGTATATCATCTTTACATTAGTTTAATGATTCTCAATACTTGTATTTGTTATTAACATAATATAGTGATAATACATGAAATAATAGATAAAATATAATATAATTCAATTATCAAAACATTATTACTGTTCAAATAATTTTAAAATTATATGATCTCGTGAAAACTTTCATTTAATATAAAAGACTCACTTGATTGTGTAATTATGAAGATTGTTGAATAATATTCCGAAGCACCATAACATCGACATGTGTTTCATACTATGATGTTAAGGTTGGCAACTTTGACTAAACATGTGTTTTTCGATGTTCCCATGAAAATTGCAATTTGCATGCACTACCATCAGCAATGCATGACAAACATGTACAACAGAAATAGGATTCTCTGCAATAATATTTTTGTAATTATTTTGTAAATTATAATAATTAAAATTATTTCAAAAGTAATTATGTTTTAGGCTTAAATCATTTAAATTATTACTGGTTGTGTTTTTTTTTTTGTTACAGGAAATTCCTCTCTACTTTCCCGCAGGTCCAAGGCAGCGCCCGTTGCAGAGATCACCAATGTGTCCTGTTAGCCGTTCCAAGCGAGTAAACTATAACCTAACAACTTACCCCGACCTCTTAAGACAAGCTCCGCCTAAGTCAAGACTCGCACATCGGGGGAGCATTGAACCTATATTAAGTGCTGATTAGACAACTTGAGGTCCAACCTCCTAACCAACTGTGCTTCGCTCAGAAATTGTGTTTTGGGTTTAACCATCATGGCAAAATTACTACAAAATCCTAAATGCCATCGTAGTTGACGTATTAGCATACGTAATAGAAGTGGCATTCACAATTCACACTAGGGTATACATTAGCAATCTTGCAATAAAAATCTGATTTTCTTCTTATTTTAAATTTTCATGTTTAGCAATATTATATACCTAGAACTTGTGCCCGAACAAATTAATATGTTATTCAGATCAATCTAAATCTAGAAAGTCCTACCATACAAGAACTGAATCACATTTTTTTGATATATTTTTTAGCATAAATTTTAAATATATAGCTTTTTACTTTCTTGAAATGTTATAATAATAAAAGAAAAATGAAGTTTAGTTAGCAAATGTCATCATAAACAACAATAAACAAACAGAAAATAAAAACACAACTAAACAAATTTTAGTAGATGCATGTATTCATTGATTCTTGGGTATGAGTCAATGGCAGAGAAATTTTCTCACTAGAAATTAATTGTAAGAGGATGAGTCACACATTTAATTTGGTCTTTAGTTTCATAATCCCAACTGTATCTTTCCATTTTCAGCCCATCACGCTTTGTATTATTTATTATAAGAACTTGCAACAAACTGACACGTAGTTAAGAGGAAAGCCATTTTATGAGACTGTACGCACAGCTTGACTTTAAAAACCAAAGTTGATATGTAAAACTTTATTCTTTTATGTACGCATATATGTATATCTATATGATGTAATGAGGTTCTGTACCATAAGATTACTTTAATGTTTGTATTATTTTCATTCTCAAAAAGTCAAAACTAATTTAAGGTAAACCTAAGGGGGGTGAACTTGGGTTTTCATTTGTCAAATTAATATATTTATTACCACTGGGGTGGTGGCCTGGTAATAAGCCAACCCCTCACCCCTCAAGAGGTCATGTGATCGACACTTGGGGTGTGTCTGTAGACGCATTGTACTCCTGTCGCATAGTAGTCAGGGACGCCTGTTGTGGCGAGATAGTTGGCACCCACCACTAGTGTCCCGGTGAAAGATTCCTTCTTATGAGTTGAGTTAAATTTGACTGACAATTGATTATCTCAAAGCCAGGGCCTGCAGAAGCAATGACATTCCCAAGGAGCTTCCTTTTTTTTCAATCCAAAAAAAATAATAAAAACTGGTGTATTTATTTTATTTTATTTTATTGTTCCTAATTAACCATGGTCCAAAATGTTATACAACCCATGTTTATAGTACCAAATTTCAAGTAACAAAAAAATTAAAAGAAAATATCAATTCAGTGTATGTTTTAAAAGAAAAAAATTTAAATTAGTGGTAACTTTATAAATATTAATAATTTAACCTTAAAATTTTTGTATGAATTGTTATTATTTTTATAAAACTACCATTGAGAAGTAATTTTCCCCAAAGAACCATACGGATTGCTGTTCCTAGTAGAAGCAAGTTTGAATGTTAGCATTTCTATATTTTAGCATTATTTGTCAGAGCAATTAAAGTATTCCAATGGTTCAATAATTAAATAGCTAGTTATTGCTAATAATGAATGGGTAACAAAATGTAATATCTTAGCAATATTATTCCAGTAATTCAAATGCTATTTCTTCTATTTTTCTTACAAAATGCCAAAGTAAAATGCTATCAGTCTCACCATGAGAGAGCAGGGATACAAAGACTCGTTAAAATTTACTTGTAGCTAAACCTTCTTCCAAATCATATAGCTGGTCATTGAAAAGGGAATAATTGAATTTCCTATTATATTTTAATTACAGCAATCATGAAATCTTCCTCTAACCTGTTTTTAACGTTTCGAAATTCACCTAATGTATAGTAGAAGTTAAAATTGGACGATATTATCTAAACTGCAGTTAATTAGATTTAATTTGATGTAATCTCCCAGGCTTCATAAACAGCAAAGTTTCTTGGCATTTCAAAATTATGGTTAAATGCACTTTAATACATTGATCTAAATGGCAGTTATAGTGTAGGTGGCAAATAGAGACAAGCATTCTGAGCAAAACAAAGAAAACCACATTCAGAAATGTTTAAAACTCATGCCTGATAGATATTCTGTAATCACATTACATGTCCCACATAATGAAGGATTTTAACGGTTGCATTTGTACCAATACACAAACATGTCACAGCAGTTGCAGATCATGGAGCTTACTGTTGTTGCTTGTCCCATTGCAATCCAAAATCCCAGTCTTGATCTACAAAATTTGCAAACAAGGAGAAATAACTTAAAATGCTTGCTAATTCAATCAACAGTGCAAGTTCTTTCCGTATTTCAAGAAAATAATTTATTATAAATAAAAAGGAAAAAAGAAGAGTGAAAGAGGGAAATGAAATAGCACCTTCTCGATAACATCTGCACTGCCTGAAAATTCTTGCAATTCTTTCTTTAGTCGTTCAACACGAGCTCTCATGACACGTTTATGTTCTTCTGCCTAAAAAAACAAGGATTTGTTCAGAATAACTTAACCAGTGCTCAAGAATCCTATCTCCTCTAAACACAATTAGTACGTTCTCTTTCCTTTACAAATCCCAACTAGAATCAGATTTTTATCATCCCAAAAAGAACTAAATGTGACCTATCGCATGGATGGATTATAAATATAATATTACTTAGCAATGTGGTAAATGTTACTTGTGCACAACAATGTGACATGCAGTAAGGGAAATGCACAAGCAATGCTGTAAATGTCAAAGGAAATGCAGTAAATGTTGATAGCTTGATAAACATTGTTGAACCTCTTTAGCTTAAGCTTTTGGGACCAGCAGTGATCTAACATTGTACTAGAGCTCAAGTTGGGGGAGGGTTAATTTCTAGTACTGCTAAATATTGCCTATGATATGATGGAGATCCATGATCTGCAAACACCATGTGGTGCAGGATTTGTGGCTATTTATATATAGAATGGCTCCACACACACACAAAAAAAAATTGTCACTTCAAAAAAATTCATAAATAATTTGGTTCCGTAAAAAATGCTGAAAATGTTTTCAATCATTTGTACGTGCTACTACCATATAAAAAGTAAATGATGGTTGTCAATTAATACTATACAGCCTACTCACCATTTGTAGCACACCCCTTAAACTTCAAAAAAAATCATAAATAATTTGGTTCTGTAAGAAATGTTGAAAATGTTTTCAATCATTTGTACACGCTACTACCATATAAAAAGTAAATGATGGTTGTCAATCAATACGATACAGCCTACTCACCATTTGTAGCACACCCGTTAAGTGTTGGATCTCATTCTTCTTCACTGTCGAAACATTCTGCCAAACATCTCCCACATCAGTCCTGCATTTGAGATGGTCAAAATTGATAAATCCACTGCATCAAAAATAACTTGCGCACACACAAAAAAATAATAATAATGTAGGAGTAGAGAAGAGAGAAAAAGGCATGACCAGGATGAAAACAAACAAAATATAAACGTACAGAAACAACCAAAATTTGAAGAGTTTATACACTTCAAAAATAAGAACACCTTATTTTGTGACATATATGATATAAAAGAATGCAGGAATGAAAAGTACACAACAGGAGGCACTATGGCCCTATTTGGTAGGGCTTATTTCCAACTTATTTCAGCTTTTAGCTTAATTTAAGCTATTTTGATGTGTTTGGTTCAGCTTAACAATACAACTTATAGCTTTTTGTAAGTCAAAAATCAACTTATTCTTTGAGTGGGGAAGGAGAAGCTTAATTTATAAGTCAAAAATCAACTTATGTTCACAGTTATAAGCTATAAATTTTTAAGGTATAAGCTATAATCACTTTCCCACAGCTCTACCAAACGGGACTTATGTAACCATCCAAGATTTAATATATATGTGCTCAAATTGAAAAGTTCTTTTAACCTGTTTCCACCTATAGTAATTTTAGATACAACTTTGTGATAGACATGCCAAACTGGCTTCCAGTTTCTGTTATTAGTAACTTCTATGCTAGGGTTCATATTTCGTAGCTGACACCCTTGGAACGTCTTACTCACTTATATCAGATTCTAAGCTTTCAAGTTTCATTGACCTTACACAAGCTAATTTATTATAAAATTGTGGTTTAAGGACACACAGAGTAATGAGGATTTTGCTAATAGAACAAAGATGTAGGATGAATAAAGTGGCAGCTTGCTTTCTGAGTGTCATGTATTCAGTATGTATGTAACAATTAATTTGAAGGAATTATGTTATATTACAACTACAATAAATGCTGGCAGACAAGATAAGCATGGCTGAATGGGTTGCAAGAGAAAAAAGGACATAGCTAAAAATGCAGATGTTCTGACGAAGTTAGGTAGCATTAATTGGGAACAACATAATTAAAGAAAAACAAAAAGGACATTGAGTTGATGTAAGCAAAGACATGGTTGTCAATGGTTTAAGTGAATCCAAAGCTCTTAGACAAAGCACAATGTAGAAGCATGCAGAGTAAAAATCAAAAAATTGAAAGAAGCTTGTTGAGCTGAGTATTCATATCATAAAAAGGACATGTCCATTAAACAAAAGAACCACAAAGAACATAGGGAAAGCAAAGACTCCCAATCCCTTCTGCATAGTTCTATTCACAAATTATTTCAACGGCAACAATCTAAATCAGCCAGTTTAACGCCTCCTATTAGTTTCTTTCTAAATACACTCAACAAAAAAATAAATAAATAAAAAAATAACAACAACAGTAGTATATGTGGTGATGAACTCCAACATCCAGATCATCATGGCTTACCTATTATTATATTTCCATTAGCTGGTAACAGATATTTACACGCCATGAATGATGTGTAGGTATTAGTTATTAAAGGTTTGCCGGTAGTGGAGCTCTGGGAAGATAGTGGGTACATCAATGGTTGGAGATCACTGGAGGAGACTACCAAGGCAACCTTAGAGATAGAAAGGGTGGCCGTGAAGAGCCTTAAACACTTAGTTATGGGGTTGCTAGGCACAAGATATGCAAGTACTGTTATCTTGCAGTGTTCTCATTATGTTGTGTCGCTGCATGCATGATACCCTTAAATAAGTTTTAGTATTGGAGCCCAAGCAGGACAGGTGGTGAAGAAATTTCTCCTAAGCAGGACAGGTTGGTGACATCAGCCCTGCTGTTGTGTCCTATGCTTTGGACCTTGGGAAGGTTGCATCATAGGTGCTGGCAGAGGTAGATATGAAATCTTGGGAGGTGTATCACAGCATGCAGCAGGCATGAGTAAGGTCAACATCCGCTCTCTCTAAGACTGATCAAGGAGGAGATGTCTTCCCTTGGGAAATAGCCACGCCACCTTGGCAAACCCGTGATCCTAGCCTCCAATCCATAATCCTTCGATGATCACAAGCAATAATGCCTAGGCCTTGCTCCCAACCTAGGTTGCCAAGTGATGGCTGTGAGAGTAGTGAGCAAAGTGATCCCAACTTCGGGAGTGAGTGCGTAGGGGAGACATGGGTGAGCCAAGGGCCAGACTATGTTGCAATGGAGCAGATGTGGTCACTCCCGAGTGTTCCCTATAAGAATGAGGTATGAAGGACCATGGTGAGCGGAAGCTCTAGGTGAGCCATGGAGCACCAGAGCCATGGTGCTGCCAAGCAGGTTATGGCTGAATGGTGAGCTTGGCTCTGCCGCATATGCTGTGAGCCATGCATTAGGCTCTTCATACTTTGACTCGTTTACTTTGGAGTATTTGCCTACTAGAGCAGCAGCCATGCTAGTGAGCTGAGTATCCAAAAATGATGGTGTGTAAGCCCCCACTTAGGCTAGGCATACAACCCTAGTTAATCCTGTGATAACACCATGGTGCCTCGGGGGTCTACCACATGGAGGTATGGTGATAGTGATGTGACACCTGTAGGGCTTGCCACATGTCGGGCATGGTAACCACATGATGAAATAAGTATTTCAAACCAAACAATATATTTTCTCATGCCAATCAAATTTCTGTAAAAGAAATAAATGATGCACAGCTTATGAATCATAAATGAAAGCATGTTGTTGAGCTATAAAAATCACCAAGCATGTATGTACCAAACAACAGTCATGGAAAACAGAGATGCCTACTTATCAGAACACAAAGAGTCCAGGCTCTGTTCTTCCACAAGTTGATCTACAGTATCAAGAATGGTGCCTGCCTGCAAATTTTAAAAAACACACACACACAAAGAAAACCAACACATAGACTAGCATGATTAAAACACTGGCCAAAGAAACTAAAATTATATAATTTTTGCCAAATACCAAAACATCATAGGAAACTAAGTGGCAGGTCAGTTACCTAACTAATTAAATTTGATTTCTCTATATGATGCACAATCATAATGGCACGCGAGAAGGCCTACTAGGACTTCAAGTTCAGTTTCATATTTGGATTTTACTGCTCATTCTGTTCATTATCATGGAATTTTTGTAGGAACTAGGAACTTGCACTTCTAACATGGTTCTCCACTAATCAAGTAGCTTTCTAGGTATTGGTAGTCAAGTCAAATAAATTATTTGTCATCCCAAGTATTTCTCAGGAAAAGAATTCTCCCAAAATTGAATTTTCCAATTAATAGTACAAACTTCATTCTAACTTCTAAATTTTAAGCCGAGCTTCAATGAAGCTGTCAAACATCATCCACATTTGGATTGAACTGAAGCCTAGTCAAGACTAACTTAAGGTGATATCAAACATATAGATGTTCTAGTGTCAGCTCAATTACACACAAAAAATGTACCTTTTATAATGAATAAATAAATAACCTAGACAGTTTTACTTATTTTATCCTTTTGATGCCCATGGTTGATAAGGCCTTCATACTCATTTTAGAGGGTATCAGTTTGCTTCTCTCTCAATGTCTATGAGAAGTTACGTTCTTATATCCTGGTGGTTAGGTAGGTAAATATTCATTTTCACTTTAAAATGCATGGAACCATCTGTGAAACTTCAAGTGATAGAGCCATAATACCGTTACGATGATATAGAAGGCACACCTGTGTCTCAAGACATATTGACTCAAATTCATCCTGTGAATAAAAGGACACAAGTTAGTAGTCAACTTACAGCTTACAAATTGGAACTTATGATCACGTTGAATCAACTCTAAAGTCTAATGTGTACCACATCATAATTTATTCATAGTTATTTCTATTAACAAAACGACTGCTGGAAGCATAACTATTTCTCTTTCTGCATAAAAGATATACCAAGAAAAGAAGAAATGCTTACAGTTGCAAAATAACTCAAATGACCTAAGCAGGATAATCCAAGGCATGCTAAACAACACTAGCAATGCATTCTAATGATGAAAATAAAAAATTAGAGAGCTCCATTACGTCTAAGTAGCACAGACCTGCACAGACATTGACTGCACATTGTAGTTGTTACATAAATACTTTGATATCTATACAAATTATATCATACCATATATAACTTTGATATATTTGGTTTCTACGTTAACAATTCCATAACATGGAATATGAAATTTGACATCATTTACCTTCTTCTTTTTTTATAGTAGTACCACTTCTCCCATTCATTTTTTTCCTAACATCGTTCTTTTCCCATATCAAAAAGTGCCTGTTGCTATCTTGACTTAAATGTGTACATTGTCAAATTCTCTTAAAAGAAAGGAAATGATCTGACACTTTGCGCATGTTTAATCTAGTTGCTATTAGCGTCAGAAAAATGCTCCTATAAAGAAGTGTTTGTACTGCATCGGTTATCTGATGGGAGATCTAGAAGTTTCAACAAAGTACCAGAAAGTTTGAAGTATTTTAATGTATGACATGTTGCAAGTGTTGGATACAATTCCAGAAATGTCCAAGAAGTGTCAGAGAAGATGGATCCCCTTGAATGATGCATTTAAATAATAAAGAAAGGATGCCCTAATAGAAGCAAATGTGCAATGCATTAGGACAAAACAAGAAGTGGAATGAAAAATGTGTACCTCTATATTTTCATGTAAAGAATTAAGAACCTGAAAAAGTAGACAGCACAACATGGTATATTAGTCCAAGCTAAATTTAAAAGGGAAAGTAGAAGATATTTAAAAGATAAACGATGACAACAATGCCTCTTTTAATGCGGTGCTGAAAATCTATATTTATAAACTAAAGCTACAGGGAAAAGATGAGATCTTCAAAGCTTATTTAACACCATGGGTTTTTCGCTTTGCTTCCTTCTTCCAACCCCAAAAACTCCAATGCTTTTGAAGCAACCTCACAATGCAAAAGGAGATGATTAATAGACTCATCCACTTTTTTCAAATGCAACACCAATTGGGGAGCACCTTTGGCCACCACTTATCAGTAGTCAGTATCACTTCCAAGGCTACAGTCACGTTAAGACACCTCAGCTGCTAGATGATCTTGCAAGGGAAGACAATGTGTGGCCTGGGGCAAGCAAAGAAGCTTATAATATGACCTCACTGCAAATTTTCTGGTCCTGTTGCCCCTCCATGATACAACATCCACTCTGTCACCAAGGACACCATTAGATAATGGGTTTCATGGTGGTTCAAGTTAAAGAAATCTTGTGGGTTTATTTAATTTTTTATTTTTTATTTTTTTGTGGATAAGAGTAGGAGGAATGCTGCAAGGTTATACGAATATGGATTAGAATTTGCTTGCTTGCAGATGTGTCAAATTGCTGGATGTTCAAAAACCCAAATCGCTGGAAATTCTTGACAAATTAAGGTTTTAGGTACTAAATTTAAGAATAGGAAGTAATGGAAACGATAGGGATCAATAACAGCCTCTATTAAGGGCTATTCTACAGTTGTAAATACTAAGATGTGAAAACTGAAAAGTAAGTATTTTGATAGAAGAAGATAGGAAAAAAAAGTAGGGAAGAAAAAGAAGAATCTAGAAAAGCCACCTTGTATTTCCTTACCTTAGGAGTCTTTAGGACTGAAAAAGTTTAAACCTACTGAACTTAAGGCCACATATTTTTTTATTTTTGATAAATTGAACTTAAGGCCACATATAAAGACCTGAAACATAACATTGACCCACAATATGGCTGATGAACCGTGTCAAGCAATCCTGAAATTACCAATAAAAAACCCTAAAGCCGGATAACACATAAGTAAAACCAAACCAGCATCAAATAACTTATAACAGGCATAAAATGAGACCCAAATTGACCTAAAACTAGATTGGATGAGGCCCATAGGCACAAACCTTTACAAATTCCAAACTTTCACTTTCTAGTTTGCATTCTCTACAACATGTATCTCCCTATTCTCAAACAATGTTAGCAATCTCTCAACTTGAACAAGAGCTCTGCAATTTCAATATTTTCTAAATTGGGACATTTCAAAGAATGATAACATTAAATTAATACCCAAGATGGTATATGGCACGGAAAAAATACCAAAAGCTACAATAATTTAATGATATGAAATTCTCAAAAGTAACCACTTCAGAAAATAAAAGACATCAACAAATATAAAAAACGCTATAAAAGTCAGGAAACAAAATACATACCTGAATAAATAGCCGATGGAGAGCTTCTTGCTCAGCATTAGTAAACCTCCCAAATGCTTTAGAGATTTCCTATTGAAATGCATGAAATAAATATAGCATTCACAAACAAACATTTCATAAAAGAGCTTTATGATACTAGCTGAGTGCAACATTCATGCACGCTACTACACTAGTCAATCCTTCAATTAGATTTTTCCTTTTTCTATAAAACCAGTACCACTACAATGTATTTGCCAAGCACTATTGCTGGAAATTTGTGTTAATGCATATAATAAGATAGTGGCATATGATAGTGGTGTTGGTGGTAGATAGTGGCATGTATAGAATATGATAGAGTGGTGTTGGTGGTAGATAGTGGCATGTATATAATATGTTAGTGGTAGATAGTGGTAATATATAATATGTAAGTGGCATATAATGGGTTATAATGATGTTTGTAATATCTCCTATATAAGGAGTGTCATTTGGTCTTGTAAAATAAGAAGTTTTGAATATAACAGAAATATATTCCTTCTTCCTTGTATTTGCCAAGCACTATAATTCAAAATCATCTGATTTCCACAAACTTTAAAAATGTTATTACAGTTTTATTGACGCGGTGAACGACAATATTTTACCTTAATAGGTTAGGCTACAAGGCACTGACATGATACCCTTGCTGAAACATATTCCATTATAATATTTACCTGCATACATCTTTCTTTCTAGTTGTGGATGCTATAAAACCTCTTTCATTTCCTTGGCTTATTGTTCAACATTCAATACCTTTTGCCCTTAAGATCTTGTGTAATATTTAAAATAAATCAATTCTCACATTCAATTGACAAAGCCTCGAAACTAGTCAACACCGGCAACACAAATCTTTATCCACCATCAGTTGTGTAGTACAAACTCTTCCATAAAATCATAGATATCAAATCTACTCTCACACCCAAGATTCTCTTTTGCATCCACCATGTAGTTGTGGCACTTTCAACTTGAGTATCCCATATGTACAACATTGCAATTAAATACTCTAAGCGCATAAGCATCTTCATTGTCAAGTAGGAGTTATGGCCAATTCTAAAATACTTTTTTAAAAGCAAAAAGTGACTCAAAAAGAAAAAGAAGAGGAGGAGAAGATGCTCATGTGGATACGATTGGAAAATGAAAAGCAGTATGTATCTAGCATTAATCACCTCTTTTGAACATGTCATTGGCAGAGAACATATGCCCAGCTTAAACGATTTTTTCAATTTCAACTGTCGTGATCCAGGAAAAGGAAGTAGGCCTGTTCTCTCCATTGGATAAAGTAATAGGTGCCAAGATATATTTCAGAACTGCCAGACAGAATGAAAAAGGTTAAAGAGTATGAGGAGATGCATGATAATATTCAAGAAAAACAAAAACAATGCCAATCAAAGAATTTTCCTTAAGCATATTGATTGTTAGCTATCACATAAGCATAATGTACAGTAAGGCTAAAAACACTAACTAGTGCACCAACAAATATACTAAGACACAAGACATGAATGTGGGATCCACCACTTAACATGGGACCCATTTAACATTTTGTCTAATTAAATTTTACCAAACGGGCCCTAAATTTTACCAAATAGGCCCTAAATTTTACCGAACGGGCCCTTACACTGTGTTTGGTTGGGAGATTTGAGAAGGAATTTGGAAAGAGAAAGGGAAAAGGTAGGTGAAATGTGAATAAAATATACTTACATTTTACCTAATTTCACACACCTTTTCCCTTTCCTTTTCCAAATCCCTTTCCAAATCCTCCAATCAAACACGGCACTAATGTCTGTGAGATTATTGATTTTAAAAAAGAAAGCCAAAGGAAACTACACACCTACAAATCCTATTAGCAAAAAAAACTGCAGAAGAACTAGATGGGTTTAAAAAAAATTCCCTGAAAGTGATCCCGGGACATTACAATAGCTAATCCGAGGCATACTTGATATTAGAAAAAATCACAACTCAAAACAGTATGCACCAAGTATTGGGAAAGCAAAAACCACACCCCCATAGTCTGAGGTTTCAACAAAATGGGATTAAAGAAGAGGAAGACAAATCAGACAATTGCATGCACCCAAACAGGACAGCACCCATGCAAACAAGCTGTATATTTCAATATTTACTACACCCTTGTACAACCCCCAATACTCCAATTCAGACAACAAAATTCAAAAACCTATCAACAGATGAGAGTACACCAGCTAGTTATGATCAGAACATTAGCAATTTTTTTTTTTTCACCAATATTTCAATATTGCAAATCAAATGTAAATTTTCATTTTATAGTGTATTAGAAATTTTGATTCCATTAATCAAATGTAAATTTTATACAAAACGCAGATAATAGTAGCTCGAGATTGACAGAGAGCACTTCTGAATCAACTATACAGCCAATTAACCCATCATTCTCAGTGAAGCTATATCATCATCATCATCATATATACATACGTGTGTACGCCAGGTTACTTTGTTGCATTTGAGTCACAATGTCAAGACACTTGTTTTTCAATTATATCATCAATTTCACATATATGACCTTTCAATTTGCGTTTCAAGCCCCCAAACTTCGAATCACACTATAGAGACAACAAATAGAGAGAGAGAGAGAGAGAGAGAGACCAGCGATGATGATGATGATCCCTGACCCATCCGCCTTCAGGATCTGACTAACTCCCGACCCAAGCCTGGTGTGAGAGAGAGAGCGGGAGGTTGACAGGCAGGCGCGTCTGTGTGTTTGGGGCGGGTGGATGGATTCTTGTCAGAAGTAATCAACGAATCGGGTTTCAATTCGGATCTGAAGTCACTGGGTGTGTTTGGTTTGGTTTTGAGCGATAAATTTTAAAAAAAAAATTGAGAAGTGTGTTTAGAAATTTTTTTAGTTTGTTTGGTTTTATATTTTGGAGATAGTTTTGGAGTATAGGAGTTTGATATGATTTGATATTTTGTTGTAGTATAGTGATGTGTGTGAGAGAAAAAGTGATTGAGAATGAGAGATGAAAGAGAAAAAGTGATTTATTAATGTGTAAGAAAGATAAAGTGATTTTGAAATTTTTTTTCTAAACAAAATTTTAAAAAATTTTCTCCAAAACTACTCTCTCAAAAACAAACCATACAAGGCCATAATTTTTTTTTTTTTTTTTTTGCAAATAAATGAAAAGATTAAAAAAATGTTATGCTAAAGACCCCAAATGATTTATTAAATTTTTTATCAAATCTGGTATGAGACCTATACATATGTGAGTTTGTGTAAATCCCACACCTATATTAAAGGTTTTGTAAAAAATTTGATAAATTAAATAATAAATATGGTGAAATCATGCTATTCTATTTTTGTTCAAAAATAATCTACATAGAGAAACCTACAAAATGACCAACTTTACTGTTAAGCTTTCGTTTGAGATATGAATTGATTTTTTAACTATTTTAACTTGAGGCTAAAAAATTTCATTTAAGATAATTTTTTTTACTTTTGTAAAAAAAAAAATAAAAATGATTATAATTTGAATCTGACGCTTTATCTTATCTGACTAAAATAACCAATTTTGTCCTATATGACTATTTTAGCTCAAACAAACATGCCAAACATAGCCTCGGATGAGACCTGTGGTATAAATAATAAATAGAATTAGAAAATGTTAAGTTCCTCATTTTCATTACAAGAATGAAAATTATTAAAGACTGCAACACAGCAGAGACAAAATTTAGTAATAATTATTATTATTTTCATAAAAACAAAAACAATTTATAACTAGTGTTGCCTATTCCATGTAGCAGAGGCACACGAAAATAAAATATCAATTAAATTATAAAAAAATAAATAAATAAATAAAGGACTTCTCATACGTAGAAAACGCACAATTTTCTAAGCAAATTGGCACGAAGTGTTTGATAAAAATAAATTTAGAACAAACAAAAGCCTAAGAAGAGCATCCTCACCAATATATCATTATTATAACAACATGAGAGGCTGATTAAAAAAAAAAATTAAAAAAAAAGAAGAAAAAAAAGGAAGCCAAGATGACAAGGCCGTGTGGTGGAAAAGCAATGGGATAGATTCCTAAGGTCCCTGTAGCGATCCAAAACCAAAATGTCGGCAATCTTGCAAGTTGGAAGGCTCAATGTAGCACCGCTATACATTCCACCAGCTCTGGTTCTATTTCTACAAAACCCATATCATCCAATGCAACAGATACAAAGAAGCTGATCCCATTTCCGGTTTGGGTGCCTCTTAAAACTCCGCTATTAACATTGTAATTTTCTATCATCAACAAAATGCTCATAAAATTAACACCCACCCAGAGAAAACCCTTCCCAAATGACACAGTAATTATTCTCGAAAGAATCCCAAATTGAACTTTGCACAGTACCATTATATTCATAAATTTTTAGCCAAGCAAGTCCTTGAACAAGTTGGGATTCGGGCTTGTTGGTGTCACTCCCATTTGCCTTACCAGAGCATCCTTTACCAGCGATTCTTTAGTGTTCGGACCCTTGACAGTAGCTGCATTTGACAAAGCAGACATGATATTGACATCGTCCTTACTACTTTGCCCGCTTGTAAGCATATCAGCATACAGAGACATGAAATCTGGCGCTTTAGTAGAACCAACCGCACCGTAATTTTCAGCCAAAGAAGCATCTTGAGCTGCTGGGTCAAGAAGTCCTTCCAATTGCTTAAAAGGGTCCACAGACGGGGCAGTGCTTGTGACTGACGACGGTTCACCCAAGTCGAGCAAGTCTGGGGGCGGCTGAAGAGGAGTTTTCTGCTCTCCAGAAGTTTCAGAAGATGAAGTCACCACCCCCTTCACCGTGTGGGATGTCTTTGAAACCTTTTGGCTTGTGGTAGAGGATGACTTCTTCTCGGATTTTGACGGACCCCCAAACAGTGAAGCAGCAAGCTTCTGTTTTTCTGGAGAAATCTCAATTTGAGACCTTTTTGAATCATAAGAGGTATTGCGAGGTTTCGAGTTTAGATTGCCTGCCGCATCAGGTTGGGTCACCCCATTCACAGTTCTCTGGGAAGTGGAGCTCGAGGTGGATGGTGCAGGAGAGGAGTAAGTCGGCTTACCCCACTTCCTTTGAACCCCATCGAGTCTCAGCTTGAGTTCTGATGGACCTGTTTCGGATACAGATGGCACTAATACGTTTTGGTGTATCTCCCTCGGATAAGAAGGCTCGGGAACTGGAACAAGTTCGGTTGAGGATGCGATTGAAATTGGTGGAATTCTTGATGAGACGACTGGTTTTGGAAGCTCATAGGCCTCAAACCTAAGAGAATGTGTTAAAGCTTCATTATGCTCTTGGTTTCTGAAGCTGCTAACATCTAAAATTCCAGAACGTTCATTCTCGGGAATGTAGGGCTGAGCTCCCTTTTCCAATGACTGTTGGACGTAACTGTTGAGGAATGAAAGGCTTTTATCAATCTGCAAGGAAGATGAACATTAGTAAGTTTTAATTTTCCCAGGAAAATACGGGCAACAGAGAGAGAGAACAGAGTCAAGTGGCCACAAGAAATAGTGGTCTGCAAAAAGCTGACTGCAGAATTTCAAGTCACAAAAACACAATATCTGTTGCCACAAAAATAGAGACGTGTATGCTTCTACATTGTCCATAATATAGGCCCTGTTTGGTAGAGCTGTGGGAAAATGTTTATAGCTTATGCCTAAACAGCTTATAACTTATAACTATGAACATAAGCTGATTTCTGACTTATAAATTAAGCATCTCCTGCCCCACTCAAAGAATAAGTTGATTTCTGACTTCCAAAAAGCTATAACCTATAAGTTATAAGCTAAACCAAACATATCAAAATAACTTAAATTAAGCTAAAAGCTGAAATAAGCAGCTTTTAAGCTGCACCAAACAGGCACATAAACATGAACTTTATTTTAATCAACAGCAAACTGGCAACTGGAATATTTAAATCTACAAATTTAGTGAAATTTTTACAACACTACTATCTCCAATAGTTTTGTTAGATTACTCTCTTCCTAGGAAACTGGCATCTGAATTGATAACCAAAGAAATCTTTACAAAGTGAAACAATCATAATATCGGATTAAAAGAAAAAAGGTTGTTCCCAATGCGCAAGGCTCTCGCTTACCCCACTTCTTTTATAAGATACAGGTAGCTGTGCCTCAACTTCTATTTATTTATTCTTTTTTTTTTTTTTGTGCATTTGAAGAGGCTGACTCCGATGATTTAAACCTGTGCCACAATGCTGGCGATGGTGGACAGCACTTGCCATCACACCATTCGAATACATGGAAAAACAAGTTACTAATTGGCAAGTAACTTGAGCACCAAACAAAGTGAAAAATTAAATATGTACTGTCAAAACATATAGGAGAATAGAAGAAGTTATAGCAACAATAATTTATGAGATACTGGAAGAACTCCCCAATAAAACAATAGGATGCATCCAAGAGAGCAAACAAATAGACAACAAGAAAAGCTTCTAATCATTTTGTGAAAAGTGTATAGGGAATGCAGACTAATTTATCCATGTCAGAAGTATGCAAAAGCTAATTAACAAGCCAAGAACCCCAACAATAAATTAAAAACAAAATGTACTATGTGGGTGTTTGGGAAGTGAGTGTTTTTGTAGGTTTTTTTAGTTGTAGGATATTATTAGAGAAAAAAAAATTTGTATTTGGGAAGATAGTTGGGTTTTTTTGTGGTTGGATGTGATGTTTGTGAGAGAAAAAGTGAAATGATTATGGAGTTTGATGTGATATTTTGTTTGCTTCTAATCATTTTGTGAAAAGTGTATAGGGAATGCAGACTAATTTATCCATGTCAGAAGTATGCAAAAGCTAATTAACAAGCCAAGAACCCCAACAATAAATTAAAAACAAAATGTACTATGTGGGTGTTTGGGAAGTGAGTGTTTTTGTAGGTTTTTTTAGTTGTAGGATATTATTAGAGAAAAAAAAATTTGTATTTGGGAAGATAGTTGGGTTTTTTTGTGGTTGGATGTGATGTTTGTGAGAGAAAAAGTGAAATGATTATGGAGTTTGATGTGATATTTTGTTTGCTTCTAATCATTTTGTGAAAAGTGTATAGGGAATGCAGACTAATTTATCCATGTCAGAAGTATGCAAAAGCTAATTAACAAGCCAAGAACCCCAACAATAAATTAAAAACAAAATGTACTATGTGGGTGTTTGGGAAGTGAGTGTTTTTGTAGGTTTTTTTAGTTGTAGGATATTATTAGAGAAAAAAAAATTTGTATTTGGGAAGATAGTTGGGTTTTTTTGTGGTTGGATGTGATGTTTGTGAGAGAAAAAGTGAAATGATTATGGAGTTTGATGTGATATTTTGTTTGCTTCTAATCATTTTGTGAAAAGTGTATAGGGAATGCAGACTAATTTATCCATGTCAGAAGTATGCAAAAGCTAATTAACAAGCCAAGAACCCCAACAATAAATTAAAAACAAAATGTACTATGTGGGTGTTTGGGAAGTGAGTGTTTTTGTAGGTTTTTTTAGTTGTAGGATATTATTAGAGAAAAAAAAATTTGTATTTGGGAAGATAGTTGGGTTTTTTTGTGGTTGGATGTGATGTTTGTGAGAGAAAAAGTGAAATGATTATGGAGTTTGATGTGATATTTTGTTTGCTTCTAATCATTTTGTGAAAAGTGTATAGGGAATGCAGACTAATTTATCCATGTCAGAAGTATGCAAAAGCTAATTAACAAGCCAAGAACCCCAACAATAAATTAAAAACAAAATGTACTATGTGGGTGTTTGGGAAGTGAGTGTTTTTGTAGGTTTTTTTAGTTGTAGGATATTATTAGAGAAAAAAAAATTTGTATTTGGGAAGATAGTTGGGTTTTTTTGTGGTTGGATGTGATGTTTGTGAGAGAAAAAGTGAAATGATTATGGAGTTTGATGTGATATTTTGTTTGGATTAGTTTTTTTTGGTTTTGTAAAACATTTGTCTTGTAGTGAAAAAAATAAAAAAAAAAACCCAAAAACCAACTTGTCAAACACTGCCTATATTTAAGATATCAAAAAAAACCTCAATGTCTTCACAACTTGCATCCAGTGGCATAATGCTTTCAACAGCATGAGCATCTAAGCTGATGACTGCTTGGAGCTCATATGCACGTTGCTGCAAATCTGTTGAGTGGGATGCTGATAATTCTTCAATCAAAGATTGACACTGCAACAAGGAAAGAAATTACCAATGTATAGTCAAAACATAAAAGCGGAATTGAATTCTCATGATGCTGAATACGAGTCTATGACACAGAAAAGCATATACTTTCTTGTCTATGATGCCCACATATATTTTGGTGATGATATACACATACAAAACCAAAATAATAATAATAATTAATATAGCAAGCAGTGCATATAGAAAAGCAGGGAAGCAGTAAATGGAAGAATGCCACTAGCAGGGAAACCTGAGAACATAAATGAATCAAATAAATCAGGCTCAAATCGCATCGTAACTATCAACTCCAAAGAGAGAATGCATACCCTAGAGACACATGATTTAGGTTCAACATAATTTAAGGATATGGTATAGATCCAGAAGGATGGGGTTGAGGCAGAGTCGAAGAGAAAGAGGAAACTTTGGCTTATGATTTATAGCGATCCCATTTAACAGCAAGTACCACCACAAATACTCAGCCACTTAAGTACAAAACTGATTTAGATGGCTAAGGTATGAGACGTGTGCTGAAAACACCAAAAAGACCTACCTCAGGTAGCACATCGGCTTTTCTCCCAGCTGCTATCTCAAAGGCGTATATTTTCATAAGTGCTGTAACTGCATATGCCTTGAAGGAAGAAAAAATTCGGTACAAGTTCAAACTAGAAAAGAAATGAGTGCAAGGCAATAAAATCATCAATTGTATTACTTTGTCAAAAAAAAAAAAATCAATTGTATCAAATCTCAAAGAAACACTCCTTTCAATAAATTATAATCAATTATATGCATGTGCATATTGAAGAGATTCAAAGTTGGTAGTTTTTCCTTTTTCAGTTCTTAGATTACTCAAGGGCTCTCAATCAAAACTGAGTCATCAAATACAAAATTTGGATACTCCATACCATACGAAGAGACAAAATTCCAAGGTACCTTGACAGTGTCATCACTGGAATATGCTTCTGCCACATCACATAACTTCCCAGTAATATAAGAGGCTGAATACTTTCCATCTGCAGTTCCATATTCCCCCAAGACCCAACAAATTACCTGTGACACAAAACTACGAAATAAGACAACAAACACAAGAAGTATATCCAAAACAATGTCAACACATATACCGGGGGGGGGTTGGAGACAAGAAAAAAATAAAACCTAGATAGGAGAGAATGTACTTGTAGAAATGCAGATGGCAGCTTTGGCTCTCCAATGATATGCAAATATGACTCTACCTGCAGCCAAAAAATAATTAAACATCAAGAGAGTAATGCTAAATTAGAAATGCTTTTTTTTGCTATGAATGAACATCATATTTTAAATCAAACAGTTTCATTCTGGATAACCCAGTGAGAATCATTAGATCACAGAATATAAGAAGACTGTTAGAGTTGGCTTTAAGTAACAACAAATATATGAAGTGAGCCAGTAGAAATTCATTATGAATACATACAGCAGAAGATCTGAGCTGACTATCTGCAGTATCATCATCCTCCCCAAATCCCTCAGCAATCAACCGCATCAAGTTATGTGCCACTTTAATATTCACTAGATCCCCTGCATGCTCGAAGACTCTATTCATGGTCTGTAGTACATAAATCAAGAGAAAGCCAATAGGTGGAAGTTCAGAAGACATAAATATAATGTTATCTCCAAACAATCACAACAAGAAAAGGTAACATTGACATAACCTGAATGAACCATTGGTTGCTTGGTGCAAATTGCTCCGCAACATCAAGAGAGGAATGCTAAATTAGAAACTTTTGGGGGGGGTGTAAACTTAATCCATTGAAATCAATCAACAATAAAATGTGGTGGGAGGAGAATATGCTTTTTTTTGCTATGAATGAACATCATATTTTAAAGCAAACAGTTTCATTCTGGATAACCCAGTGAGAATCATTAGATCACAGAATATAAGAAGACTGTTAGAGTTGGCTTTAAGCAACAGCAAATATATGAAGTGAGCCAGTAGAAATTCATTATGAATACATACAGCAGAAGATCTGAGCTGACTATCTGCAGTATCATCATCCTCCCCAAATCCCTCAGCAATCAACCGCATCAAGTTATGTGCCACTTTAATATTAACTAGATCCCCTGCATGCTCGAAGACTCTATTCATGGTCTGTAGTACATAAATCAAGAGAAAGCCAATAGGTGGAAGTTCAGAAGACATAAATATAATGTTATCTCCAAACAATCACAACAAGAAAAGGTAACATTGACATAACCTGAATGAACCATTGGTTGCTTGGTGCAAATTGCTCCGCAAGCTCAACACATCTGGACGCTATTTCAGTTTTGTAATGATTGTCATTAATGTTTATCACGTAATCAATCATACGATCAACAATAACTTCTACATTGGAGGACTTCGTCATCTTATAGAGAAGTTCAAAGGTTTTCCTCTTTAGAGTATCATCTGGGTCCTGTGTCATCAAGCATGTCAAAGTTTGACCAAAACATAGTTGAAGAACAATTATGATGAAAAACTGTCAAAATTAGTTTGAACATCAAATTGAAAGGGTAACGTGGCATTAGTTTCAATAAGATTACAACCATAGAAACAGAAAGAATTTCGCAATGGAAACACGAAAGATTAGAACTTATAAAAATAAATAAATAAAATGAACCAAACAAAAAAGGAGGAAGAGGAAGCATTGAGCAGCATCCTTATCAGGCCATATCTAGTTATCACCTACTTTCAATTAATTATAACTATTATTCATGGAGTACAAAGGTCCCGCTTTTTCCTCAGAGAGACACTCCAGTTTTTCCTTTCTGGTAAGTAATAAAAACACCCCAGTAATCAGCAAGAGGTCATTACAAAAACTTTTTGAAGCAGCGATAATGCTAGCTATGTTTTATGCAACCAAATGTTGGGTAATACTTGCCATTACAATAAAATAGACTAGCTAAAGAGCGAAAGTTACAGAGAAAAGCTAGCTCATCTTTGCTTCCTTTCATAAATTTCTAAAAGCGAGAAAAACTTTTTGGAATTATTCACTCTTCCATTGAAGTGCTAGGTGTCATCACTCCAATGATGACTTTGTTAATGCTCTATAAACATTTACATTCCAAATACTTTGCTTACCATAAGACAAATTTCACAAATACTTCAGCAGAGGTCAAAGTATAGGAGTAGTTTACATCAGCCTGACAAAGCAATATTGATCTAAAAAATTCCATGAATGCATATACAGCTCATGTAAGACAGATAAACTAATCACAAAACAGACAGAAAGTATATATTAACTACACAGTTGTTAAAGCAATAAAATAAGGTTAACACGGAAAGGTATAACCATTCAAGTGTGCACAAAAACAAAGGGGAAAAACAAAGAACATGAGCACAGCCTGCATCTCTGATGGCTCCATCAACACGAATATATTGATGTCAAATGCATGCGAGAAAATGTTTCTCACCTCTAAGCAATCAATCACGGCCAGTTGGTGTTGTTCAGCGATTTCTGGACTTATCTTTATCAACCGACCTAGGGCATCTATGCCCATATATTTTAGATTGTGACTATCACTCTGTCCAACAGATAAGAATGCATGAAAACAAGTTAAAGACAAAAAAAAGCAAAACAACACACACAAGTTGCAGAAGGCAAACCTTCAAAAATTTAGATATTGCTTCTGCTGCAGCCTCTAATAACTTAGTATTGGGATGTATGGATGAAGCACAGCATATGCACTCATATAGAACAGCATTTCCTATGTTACTTGATGAGTCAAACTTTCTCATTATGTCACCCACAACAGTATACATATGTTCACTAGCCTGCTTGTCACCACTACCCAATAATGCCAAAATTTTCAGCAACTTGATCTGCATAACAAAAGGAGTGAATACTTAAAACATATCTCAATTTCAAAATAAAAATAAAAATAAAGGCAAGCAAATCAACTCAGTAATAAGTATAATGTAACAATTTAGAATAAAAGAGACAATCACACTCATAGAGAGAGTGTGTGTTTGGGTCCACACACACACTCTCTCTCTATGGGTGTATGTTTGGGTGCGTTAATGGGTACGATTGTAGCATTGCTAATAATTTATCAGAAAAAAAAGACAATAATTCTAATAACCAAGTCGGGCATAAAGTTTTCAGGTTTTGCACCAAGACGTAACCCCAATGTGCGGAAGCTGCTTCTTTATCTCATGTGGAGAAGCAAAATTGCCACAATCCAAAATGTCAAAATGGCAACGCTTGGGTAAGAGTTATTGAATTTGTTGTTTACATGGATCAAAGTGAAAATTAATCACTCTCCTAGTTCTTTTTTTAATTTTAATGATACTTCACAATGTCACTATGTTTCGAAGTTGCTCTTGGTGCAGGTAATTTAGCATGCAATTTGAATAAGGTTGTCCTTGGCACCTTTTTGGTGAATAAATTTTTTTGCTCCAAGATGGAGACCCTCACCTTGCCATAACCACCTTAGATTTTTAACATAAAGGGGACAAAAAAGGCAGAAAAAAATATAGAAAAGGATCAAGCAGAAAAGATCATGGACATGTTAATATGTACAAGCCAAAAAAACATGGAAAAGCTCTCATGTCACCCTAAAGACATCAATTTTTTCACATTAGCAAGCAATACAACAAAGATCTGCTAATTTGAGCAGTTCTCACTCCCAAGAAATAATTATGCCAAGTCAAATTGTCAAAGCTAAAGCTATAAAAATTTGTTTAAAATATTTGCTAATAATTCCCAAGAATATTAAAGTCTATTCATTAAACCCTAATCCCTACTGAGAGAGAGAGAGAGAGAGATTAAACCCTATTAGGCCCTAAATTCACAAGACTAAACAGGCCTTCCTAAAGCCTTCTATTAGCAACTCTCAAGGACCACTTACTGCTCTTAAGAAACAGTGCATGCAGGCTATGTTTTGCATCCTTTATGCCTACAAATTAAGCCTCTTTGGCATTAATTTAGCTTCTTCAATGAATGAAAATAATTGGCCGAAACAAATTTCATAACCAATTTAATCTTGGCCCTTAGAATCAGACTAGTATGGCTAAATTTCAATTACCCAAAATCTACGAAACCAACCTAAGTTGCACAGACACGAGTATAGACACGAGACACTCAAAAAGTTACAATACGGGCACGGTGGAGATACAAGAAAAAAATATTTTCTACAATTTTATTTACTATGTATATGAATATGAATTTAGGAATATAGATATGAGAGGCATCGATGTATATGTGGGTTCATTTTATTTTTTTATTACTTTTTTCCCTCTTTACTTCCATGTATTTTACTTTGACCCCAAATTAGCTCTCTGATATTATTGTTATTTAAAAAAAAAAAAAACTACAAAGGTATCCTTAGGTGTGTCCAAACACAAGACACATGTCCATGAAGCATTCCGAACATGTACTAAAAAAAATAATTAAAAAATTTGACACGCAAAGTGACGTGACGTGTCAGACACATGGACACGCGTGTCCCTGCTTTGTTAGACATGAACATGGACACAACACCTATCTTGGAGTGTTGATGCTTCTTGGAAGCCAGAGCATAAAAAGTCTAAAAATAACACATGAAATATCCAATAGTAAATCCCTTTCACGGTTCTTTGTTTGTTTAATGAAGACCAAAGTTATAGCCCAATATGATTTTCGGGGCAATTGTTTGCTTTGGCAGGGCCATAATTATTCAAGTATTTTGGTGGCCACCACTTTGCTTACAGTCTCCAAAGGCATATAAAGAAAATCCAGCAAATTAGCCTCTTCAGGCTTTAATTTCATAAGCCCCACATGGTACAATTTATTGTCTCAAAAGCCTCCAAAAATTCTATAGCAATCAAAGCCTCCTTAAAGTCCCAGAAATTGAGTTTCATGAAGCCCAAAATTTTATCTTCAAAAGCCTCTCATGGCTCCCCTGAACTTGTCTATCAAGGCCCAAGTTTACCACCTCCAAACTCTAACCATCAAAACCGCATTGGGTTACTAACTTAACACCCAAATTCAGCCCATTCAAATGGCTTCAAAATTGAAAAAGCCATGCAACCCAAGTAATGACTAGTTCGTATTGCTCTCTTAAAAATTAACTTGGACAACCTCTTGGCCAGCCCCATTGTGTCTTAAAATGAACAAATTAACACCCACAAATTCATTCAAATCCAAATCCAAATTCTTTCTAGAACATGGCTAACTTGATTTTGAATCAAACTTGTTTCCTGATTTGGATACGTAGGTGACCCACTTAAATAGACCCAGTCATAATCCTAGCAAAAACAAATGTTCACCCAAATGAAATGTTCGGTCATTTGCCCACTCAAAGCAAAACCCAAAAATAATAGGTTATTTAACCACAAAAAACCAAATCAAATCAAATCAAATTACAAAATTAAATAGAACATATGCCCATCAAACCCAAAAATAAAATTATACTCGTCTTCGAACTACATTTGGCTTGATCCCACAACATGGGTACGCAAGCAACTTAGATGAATAATAAGGGTCCAAACCTTGAAATAAAAAAACAAAAAACAATTCTCTGTCTTTTTGTCTTGATGAGACTTGTGATATTAAGAAGTTGGAATCAACGGGTATATCCCTTAAAACAAGGCATTGTAATTAAGGGATACATTATATCCTGAATAGGTCTAACCTATATAATAAAAATTTATTTGACATGTTGTCACGTGAGTGGAATTGTATATGCTGGAAATCAAATTTTTGCTCAACAAGGGCATTGAACAAACTATTTGCTAGTTAGATATTAAGAAAGCATGTGATTAAATATTATTTTGGTTTTTCTGTTTTATGTCATGGATAGGATGCAAATATTATTCCTTCTATTCATCTTCGTGCTACAAACTTCAAGTAAAATGTTGGCTAAAGATAGTTACTGTTGAATTCATTGAAGGCTTTCAAGTGGGGGAGGTCAAATGAAATGATTTGATTGTATTCAAAATTCCAATATAATTCATGCAGATGAACCCATTACCTTAAGTGGAAAAGTACTACATCAATCCAAATACCTCACATCTATGAAGCACCGACACGTTCCCAGGCTCTGCGTACGAGCGTCGGACACGTGTCGGACACGGACACGCGTCGGACACGCGGTAGACACGTGACCGACACTCGACCTAACGCGACCCTGTGAGATCCACTGGTACTGACAAATTGTAGCCATCCGCTGCAAGCCGACTGAGCAATCTGCTAAAGACACTTCCACTCATCTTCCGGCCACCAAGTCGTGAATGTCGCTTGTTTGGCATCTGAGGCAGCGGATACACCGACAGTGTGGTCGTGCAACAAGAGGATTGCCACCCTCCGTTCCCCCATTTGTAGCACTGACGAGGCACAGAGATCGAGGGAGACAGAAAAGAGAGAGAGATCGAGGGAGGAGAGAAGACAGAAAAGGAGAGAAGACAGAGAAGGAGAGAAAGAGATCAAGGGAGAGGAGAAGCTAACCTGTTCAGAAGCTAAGGAGAGGAGAAGCTAACTCGTGAGGTGGATCGAAGAAGCCCTAACTGAGGTATTCTTCTTCTTCTCTTCTTCTCCTTCTTCTCTGTCTCCATCATCTCTGTTCTTCTTCTCCTCTTCATTTTCGTCTTCTCCTCCTCCCTTTCGTCTCTCCCTTTTCTGATCTCTCTCCCTCTGCCTTTTTTACTTCACATTTTCTCTCCTCTATCATTTCTCTTTTATATTTTTTTTCTTCTCATTTTCTGGACTCAACATTTCTCTCTCCCCCCTCTTTTTTTTTTCTTTTTTCTTTTTTTTTTTCTTTATCCTTATTTTTATGTTAAACTTAAAATTCATAAAATAAATTATTTTTATTTAAAAAAACTCATTTTTTATTAATTTTTTAAAAAAATATATTTATTAATTTTATTATTATTTTGATTGTATAAGAATTAATAATTTTATTTTTATTTTAGACATATAATAAATAAATAAAATTATATATATTAAACGTGTCCCCAGCGTGTCGTGTTCCCTATTTTTTGAAAAATTGCGTTTTTGTGTGTCCGTGTCGTGTCCGTGTCCGTGCAACATAGCCTCACATGTAGGGGTGTAAAACGGACCAAGTCACTCAAGCTCGACTTGTGTCCAACTCTTAAAATCTCATTCAATATTGGAGCGTAATGTAAACAAGCCAAACTTGAACATATTTCAAAACTTGTTAAGTTTTCAAACCAAACTTAAACAACCTAATACTTGGCTCGTTAAGCATATATGCCATAAAAAACCAAGCTACCTTCCATGTACTTGGGTTACCAATGAAGGTACATTGACATGTATTGTATCTAGGCCAAAAAATTAAAAAATAAAATAAAACAAAACAAAACAAAAGGGCAAAAAGAAAAGGCTTAGTTAGGATCTTCAATAAATCCATATAGTTGGATACAACTCTTCAGGCTAAAAAGATGGAAGCATCATTACCCTTTCATGCTTCCAAAACTATTTACCTTCATAAAGCCCAAACAATATTTGCATCTACCCATAGATTGTGGTTCTGGGAACTATTTCCTCAGGTAAATATGGGTTATCAAAATTAGACATCCCATTATCTAACCTCAACACAGCATGTCTGTAGCTACACAAGAATAAGAAAAAATTGGGGCTTGTGCAGATTAATTCACCAAATTCTACTAAAATTTGCAAGCAGTTATTTCTGTTAATGCAACCATCACCTTATTTGTCCCTTTGAAAGAGAAAAAAAAATTACCAATATCTTGTACAATAGGCTTCAATATGAGCTAAAGAAAAAATAAGTATAATGTGGCATACCTGAATGAACGGAGCAGGCATCTGATGATAATCATAACTCTTTGGTAATCTACGTTCAGCCACTTGCTTAAGAATGCTGACAAAGCTGACAACTAAATCCTTATAAGAAGGACCATCTACTGTAATGAGATCAAAAAGAGGGCAAAGTGTTGCACCCATAACCCCAGGATCATTATCACAAAGCTTCTGCAAAAACAAAATTTTATTTAACAATAAGAAAACAATTGAAAAGAAAGATAAAGGAACATGTGGGCTCCCTTTCCCGGAGTACAGCGGTTATATATGTGATGAATCGATGATATATATATACACATACATATGTTTGTATGACTCAAACAAACATCGTTGGGGTAAAATATATACATCCATTTTGGATGGGCTATATTGAAGAACGACATAATTGAACCATTGTTCTCATATGTGTGGGTGTGGTCCTCATAAGGGATTGGATTACTCCACTCTAATTTGCTCTCAACCTTAAAGTGTTAACATTGTTAAAGCAATCGGGTCTTGTTTACAACAACTTGTGGTATCTATAATATATATTCTATTATATTAAGTCAACAGCTTTGGTAGTGTTCTACAGCTTTCTCTCTCCTTGTGCCAAATGCCCAATTCTCTATTCAAAACAAAACAAAACAAAACAAAATTTGATAGAGAAGAGCGAAGGACTCAAACCTAAGACAATGAGTCTTGTAAAGAACACTCTTACCAATTGACTGGCACGCGAGATATATATAGTAAATATTTTGTTTTGTTTTTCCTTATTTGAATTGAATTGCACAAGCCAGCTGCTAGTATTAACAAGTTACAGACTTCAAAATCTCACTTTGATGATTGCCACTATAAACACAACCAACCAGGCAGTTGCAATTCTATTGCGAATTTGTAATCAGCCATATTTGTAGAAATACCAACACTTATCTTTAATGCAGACACAACAATGTCACAAATAACAAGTATAGAGTACCATACACCATCAAATCTAATTCAAAGTAACGCTTTTTTTGTTTTTGTTTTTGTTTTTGAATTAGTACACACCTTTCGGAAATTGGAGATGAGATGGTTGACAGAAGACGGCGACCGCTGATAAAACCGATGAAGCGCCATGACCGCCTTCTTCCGAACCGCTTCCTTGGAGTGTCCCAAGAGCTCCACCACCTGAGGAAGCACCGCAGGGATGGTCTCCTCATTGATCAACTTACACACAGCATTCAACGCAGCACAAACCACCAAGAAATTATCCGACTTCAAGTCTTTCTGAATCGTATTCACTATCAATATAATCAGATCGTGGTCCTCGTTCAAAAAAAGCGTCACAGCCAAGTACCCAGTTCGCTTCAACAAAAGATTGTCATCGTGGGTCATCTTCACAGCATGTATGTACCCGAACGAAGCATCGTGACCGAGCATTTCAACATAGACGAGTCGAATTATGTACTCCTTCATCTTCCTCTTGGGTATATCGGGCTCTGAAATTCGGCGCTTGAGGATCTCGATCTCGTGTAAAACAATCCGATCTTCTTCGGCCTTGGATCGAGCCTCGCCGATCGACTTCACGAGGTCGAGGAATTCCTTCGATTGCCCAAACCCGCCTTGGGAGCCCATTGCGAGCTCTCTCCCGATTGTCTTCAGCTGCTCCATCTTGGAATTTTCGATTCCAGGGCTTCGATTCGATTTGAAATATCGAATTTGAATCGAATGGGTTTCTAGGGTTTTTCGGGTGATCGAATTTGGGGTTAGGGGGGTCGCCAGAGAGGGATCTGAGAGAGAGTGAGGAGAAGATGAAGATCTAGAGGAGAGAAAAAGGGTTTGGATTAATTTGAAGCGTAATTGAGAGAGAAGCACATGACGACGAAAGGGGCTGCTGTTTTTTTATGAGAAGTATACTATGACACGTGGCGAGCATGTGGTGTGAGAATTTTTATTATTATTTTTTTTATCAAAAATTTATTAGCAAAAAATGGGACAACAAAAAAATAAATAAATTTGTTTGGTGGCCACAAATTTTGTAACTCAAATAGCTCGAAAATATCAAAACGACGTCGTTTTGACATTTTCAGAGTTGTTTTGTACTCAAAATGGCATCGTTTTGACGTTTCCAAACCATTTGAGCCACAGAATTTGTGGCCACCAATCATTGCCGAAAAAAAAAATTAAACTCCAAAATAAGTTTAATTTTTTAAATTTTGTTCAATTAAATTTTAAATTTAATCAAAATTCTCATTCATCATTCTCATAGTTTAATTACACAATTGTATAAATTATTAAAAGAAATATTAAGTAAAATAACATGAAAAATATAACAAATAGTGTATTTATAATATTTTGAAATATATATCTACAGGAAAATTATTATTTTGAATTTAAAATATTCATATCACAAAATTGACATCATGTTACAAGAACAGCGATGGTAGGTGGTCACAAATTCTGTGGCTCGAATGGCCCGAAACTGTTAAAACGACGTCGTTTCGGGTACAAAACAAGCTAAAACGACGCCGTTTTAACATTTTCGGATTATTTAAACCACATAAATTGTGGCCACCAAACATTTTTCGTTACAAGAATTGGTATCCTGTCAAGCCTACCTATCTTGGCTTGTTAAAAATAGAGCTAAAGTCCACCCGTGGATTAAGCCTAACAGGCTTTTTATTGGTGAACTTGAGGCAGGACGATCTACTATTAAAACTTTAAACTCAAGTATTATCCAATAGCCTTGTTCCAAATGAGTTCATCGGTCGGGCTACCTTTCATATGTCAATGGGTTAGGCTCACAAGGTCGGCCACAAGTTTATTTCAACAGACTAGAATTTGAAGCCTATTTTTTTTAATATTTTTCATTAATTTTCATATATTTGTTTACAATTTATGATTTTTGAGCTACTCTAATAGGGTGCCTCTCACGAGCCAACATGTCAAAACTATGACTCGAGCTAAGTCAAGTTTCAAACCTTAGGCCTAATCTCAAACCCAACCTGAGCTTAGCCAAGCTAGGCTGGGTTGGTCCACATGTGATATTGGTTCAAACCAAATAAAAGTCTAACGGTTTTAGATCAAATGATTACCCTTACGTCACATAGTAGACAAACAAAATTTGTTTAACATGTATCCTTCAATTTGTTTAGTTAAGTTTTTTTCAAAGCAATATATAGTCTCATTCTATAATTTTACCATTTTAAAAATAATATATGATGTTATGAATTTTTAAAATTTATTTTATTTTTTGACAATATTGTTAATATTATCATATACATGCTGAAAAATAATGATTTTTCGGCAACTTTAATTAGAAATTAAAGTGGGACCTAACCGCCAGTTAAGGTGGGTCTGAGTGGTTTTGTATTTTCTTAGATGAGAAAATTACAACACAAAAATAATGAGCTGAAACCATTGAGTTGTAAATAAGAATTATTTCATAAAGTGGGCATCAATAAAGTTGGGTTTTTAGACTTAGGCCTCGTTTGGGAACAAGTTTTTTTAGTAACTTTTTAACTTTTTGGCTAAAATATGATGTAAAAAAATTAATATATTTGGGATGACTTTTTAATTTTTTACGGAAAAATATGCAAAAAGTAGAGAGAAAATGGAATTTTTGACTTTTTGGTAGGTTGTTGGCTTTTTGATTTTTTTAGTGATTTTTTAGCTTTTTGGCTAAAAAAATCACTTGTCAAACGAGGCCTTAGTCTTGGTTTGGACTGGGCCTAGACTTGTACTTGTGCATATGCTGGGTTTGGTCTTAGACTTAGACTTGGACCTAGTCTTGAGCTTTGGGTTAAACTGTGTTGAGCTTAGTTTGTTCATGTATTTAAAATTGAACTTGGATCGAGTTGTGACTTAACACTTGTATCCATGTTGCAGCCTATTTAATTTAATTATCAAAACTTATACATTATATACATATTATGATTTATATAATGATTTTGGAGTTTTAAACCTTGGCAACTCTAGCCCTAATGGCTAGAGTTGATAACATTTGATGACCCCATTGATGTTAGTCTTCATGGCTAAGGCTCTCCCTTACTAGTATAAATAAAGGTCTTTCTCCTCCAACTTATTAAGTTGTTTTTAGAGAGGTTTTATGATGGAAAATGAGATGATGTTTTGAACTAAAAAGTTAGAGATGATTTTTTACGCCAAATAAAATTTTCCTATCTTTTTTTTTTTTTTGCTAACCTCTTCTTTGGTTCTTGTTAGAGAGAGTGCAATCATTGTCAAGTTCGCCGAAGCTATTTAGAAGGTACTTTTGCATTAGCTGGTTTCGACCGTCGTATCCTATGAGGCAAACATCAACATACCTCCAGCACCTATCGAGAAGATATGAATCTGTTTTAAAGAAACTGTGGTATCACACAGGTTTCAATTTGCTTCTTTTCTTATAATTTGTTATTTAGTTTTTCAAAATTTAGTTTACCTCAACGAGTTATAATTTTTAGTTATCCATGCTAATAATTTGTTCTTTTAGTAATATAATCTAATTAATTTTCGTCTGTAATTGTGTCGTTTATTCTGTATTTCATTTTTTAATAGCAAAAATTATTTTGTCATTTCTATTTAATTTATTTTATATATTTTTCTTATATTATTATGAAAAAAAATATCAACAATCTTAAAACAGATTTTTTATAAATAGTTTTGCAAAAACAATTTAGTTTTATTTTAATTTATTATAGTAACTCTTTGAATTAAAATTAATTTAATTACCTAGAGATATTGGATTGTTTTGAATTATTTATTTTTAATAATTTATTCATGCAATTTATTTTATGTTAATTAGTTATTATTGCATAAGTTATTTGATTGTTAGTATTTCAGTTGGTAGGAGTTTATAAAAATAAAAATTTTATTATGTAAGATTCTTACTATTTTATTTGATTTGTTTGATTGTTTTCTTTTATAACTAACTTTATTTACAGGTTTACCTAAGCGAGAAATGATGATGTATAATACGAACAAATAAATAAATTGGAATTAGTAAATTGGATTACTAATTTTTTATTTTATCAAGATTACCTTTGCGTGGAATAAGGAATAATATTAGATCTTCGGAATTTTAGTGAATTTAATTATTCACTTTATAGTTCAGTTTGATTTTGGATTTATTTCATATGTTGTTTTGAAAGTATGGTGATAATTTCAATTTAATTTGATTAATTAAATTCTTGAAAAAACTAATAGCTAGATTTTGAAAATTTTAAGAGATTCAGCTAGCCGAGAAGTTTTCGTCGGTATAAAGTATCTCCAAACAACTTTGTTTTAAGAGAAAATTTAGTAAAACAATGGTCTTATTTCTGTGATTGCTTATGATTGTGTTGCATTATCGCATAATGGTATAATTTAGCATTGTAATGATAGTAACTCTTATTCATTCTATTTATTTTTGGTTGTATCAATTGTGAGTTCTTTCATGTCTTGATAGGTTATCAAGAAAATTACTCCAAAATATTTTTGTATTCCTGAAATGATAAGTGGGAATTTAACTTTATTATTATATATATTTATCATGGTTGCACTATTGGATTGCCAACATTATAACCATAATATTTCTTTATGTATAATTGATTTATAGCTATGCAACTCATAACATTTTTGTAACGGCAATGCATCTATATCCTTTAAATTACACATTGCGAGTTATAACTGAAATTACTTGTGTAATATTCATTTTATTTGTTCATTGACTCATCTTGTATCCAAGTGTGTATATGAACAATAAGCATGGAGATTTAGCGGCAATGATGATAAAGTTTATAATGTGTTCAGGCAAAGATAAGCATTACAAGTGAAGAAGTGTGTTCTTGGCTAAACAGATAATTCTAGATGCAACCATGAACTCCATTTTGTAGATTTAGATAATTTGTAATTGTAACAGTTGCATTTTAATTCTATAGTAGGTTTAATTTGTAATTGGTAATAGCAACCATGAACTCTATTTTGTAGATTTAGATAATTTGTAATTGTAACAGTTGCATTTTAATTTTGTAGTAGGTATAATTTGTAATTGGTAATAGTTTCACCATAGTGAAAAGAAAGGGGAAAATAAAGAAATTATAAACCTTCGAGTTTAAAGAAAGTCTTTGGGATTGATTTTATTATTGCCAAAGTGCTTTGATTTTCTGTATTAGAAACCAAAGTTTAGCTTTGGCTAAAGAGTACTTCTGATTTGTTCAGAAATGGAAACTAAGATGGATTTGATTTCAAACCTTTGTGGTTGAAAGAAATCTTTGGGTTTTATCTTTTTATTCCCAAAGTGGTAGGAAACTAAGTTTTGAGAAAGTCTTTGATTATAATTTGATTATTTCCAAAAGTGTTTTGTTTTGGGAAAAGAAACCAAATTTTAGCATTAGCTCAAATATTTTTGATTTTTATTCAGAAATAATGGGCTTAATTCTGAGAGTACCGGTTAACTTTTATAAACGGTGTAATTCTGATAGCAAATTTTAATTGCTTATAAGTTTTGTAAACTTGGTTTGTTTTAACCTAGTTTATCCCCTGAAAAACTTAATAAATTTGTTTCTCATGAATTAAGAGTCAACATGCTCTTGAAAGTTTTGTCTAAGGTTAACTAGGTCTTAAGTGGGACCGGTGTGACCCCTTTAGTCTTCTTGAAAATTTTCTTAACCACGTTCGATCCTAGGGTAAGTGGTGAGATCAATTTTAAATTAAATTTCAAACTTTGGGATTTTCTAGCGTTAAGTTTAGTTTGTAGAAAAACAGAATAGTGAAATTCTATAGTGATTTTTCAAAAATGGCTTCAAGAAGTGACAACAGAAAATATTGCTCCACCTGACAACCTTAAACCTTGCGAGGTTCTTAAAAGAAGATCTAGAGAGATCAAGTGTGATT